TGTAAGGTTCAATATAGTAGTGGTTCTGATCTTCTCCAAATTGATATACATGTTTAATGCAACTCCTGTTGAACTCTTACCAAGGTATTTTTGAACATATGTAGTATATTGTCCTAAAATGCATGGAAAGGTAAAAGAACTGAAATAGTAACAACAATTTGTGAAAAAATAAATGAAGTGGAAAGATCAGCTTCAGATTTCAGTTTAAGAAATCTTATATAACTACAATAATCCAGATTGTATGCTATTGGTGGAGAGGTAGGCACAGATAAATGGAACTGAACAAGGTAATAGAAAATACTTACACAGACAAATTTCCAAACAATTTTTATGGATGTACACAAGCAACATAATGAAGAAGTAATAGGCTGTTAAAACAGTTGGAACTAGTGTACTTGAACATCATAGGTAGAAAGGAAGAAAAAAGAGAGAAAGAAAGGAGGAAGGAAAGGAAGAAGGAAGAAAGGTAGGAGGAAAGAAAAAGAAAGAAAGAAGAAAGAAACAACAGAGGAAACAAATCCTCAAAATGTTCAAAATGCATCACTAATGCATATGTAAAAATTTAAAACAAAAAATTAGAAAAAATAGAAGACTATCTTGAGGGTCGTGGTATGCAAAGAATTCTTAAATGAGGATATCCCTGTTGGAAAAGACAGAGTAGCAAGATAGAGTAAATATAGATTCCTGGAAGACAGACTGGAGTGACCCAGCACCCCTATGACAGAAATAATGCCTGTATATTTTGAGTCACTCTGATTTTTGGCCTTTATTTTTTTCCAATATGTTAATTTGGTCTCTAATAAGAATGGTAACATTTAAGATGGAAAGAAACAGGTTAACCTGAGCTCAGTCTGGAGTGTATTGATTCTCTTTCTCTGTGCATCTACGTGTGTGTGTGTGTGTGTGTGTGAGTGTGTGTGTGTGTAGGTGTAGAGGCTTTAACAGAAAGTGAGGTATAAGAATGACCTAGGTCATCATTATAGATTGAAAGCAGGGAAATGCAGAGGGACTCTTTGGACTGAGGCTCTGCTTTTGATGTTGCAGCACCTGTCAGACATCCACACGAAGAGGTAGGCTTTTGGGTACGGATGTTGCTCACAGAAGGAGGTCATACTTAGAAATGTAAATTTTCTTTTAGATGATTGTTAATGTCATCAGACTAGAGGTGATGACCTTGGGAGAAAAATTATATAGAGGAGGACAGGGCCAAATAGATCCCTGCAGCCACCTGAGTATCAGAAGCTGGAGAAGGAGGAGCCAGCGAAGGAGACTGCTTTAGAAATAACCCAAGAAATAATAAAACCATGGTACTTTGGGAAGAAGGACCTGGTCAATAGCATTGAATACTAATGAAAAATTAGGATAAAAGAGTAAAGACTCACTAGATTTGGGAAGAAGAAAGTCACTCCCAACCTTGAAAAGAATAATGGGATAGAATAGAATAAAAAAGAATAAAAATAGAATAAAATAGAACGAAAGGACAGCGGTCTGGGTGGAGTAGATACTATGAGTTCAGTTGGGAAAGTAGCCTCTTTACCTGCCTTTATATAAATTCTGCTGTAAACAGAGGAGAGGGATCTGATTAAAGAGGTGAATACGGGGTTGTGGGAAAAATTTGAAAAATAGGAAACAGATTGACTTATAAATGTCCATAGTGAAAGTATGGACATACCTCAGTAAAGAGCAAGAGATGAGGAATTTTAGGAAAGAGAGTTAGTGATGGTATTCAGAGCAGAGTAAGAGTAAGCACCCATCTTCCACCGTAATGACATAAGGCGAATAAGATGGGAATACATCGAGGTACATAACGTTAGGTTTAGTGTAACAGAGAAAGGCTGTACCCTTAAGCGCCCCCTCGCACAGTCATACACACAGTAAGATGCGCTGCCTTTGAAAACATACACAGAGGTTATCTTTTGAATCTATAATGGCCCAAGCCTCATGTGGTTGAAAGGAGACTGGATTATGGCGGTGTTATTATCACTCTGTGTTAGCACATGGGGTCCGGTCAGAAGAGGCAGGTCACTGTAGGCGTGACCTGGAAGGGTTTCTTCTCCTTTTAGGCTCCTCCCCTTGACTCTCTTTCCTGTTAGTCGTGAGGCAAGTAGCTGCTCTGCCATGCCACCTCCCAGTCGGTGCTGTCCTGCCATGGAGCCTGGCGATTACGAAGTGAAATGGGAAGCAAAATAACCTCTCCTCCTTTCCCTTTCAGGTGTCAAGGTATTTTGTCCGAGCAAACAGGAAAGCTCCTAAGACAATCAAACACTGCAGTCATGATGAAGCAGAAAGTGTCATAAAACTTAATACTGTAAACAACAAATGATGAAGGAAAGAGAAAGAATATAATCAGTGTAGATTATAAACACTAAAGGAAGGCTAAGAACTAGCCTAGAAGCAGGATAATATAATTGACAGAAATGTAAAGTTCTTATTTTACAGAAGATCCTGCTGGGGTTGGCATTTGAGACTAATACAATATGATAGTACAGTTAATACGAATCTGTAAATTACATGCCACCCGAGCCGGGTGATACTAAGGAGGAAGTGGAAAGGTCAGGTTAGGTACTAGCACTGAAGACCTTACCCATCCAAACGAGATCACCCTTCAGCTAAGGACTGAAATCGTTGTTTGTTCACTCTTGTCCTGTTATTTGAAACGGTTTTCCTCATCTTGTATTCAGCTCCTACTACCGTTGTTCAGTCTTATTCGTGTATCTGCCTTTAGTCATGCCAACTGAAATGTTTATTCCCTCCTTTGAAATAGTTAGCATTTATTTTCTTTACCAGGTACTTGATAACTAATTATGCACAAACTGTGAACTCTCTTAAATTGTACTTTCAACACTGTCCTTGCAGCCCATGATTTGAACATTTCAGTGTTGCTCATAAGTCTACCTTTTGCCCCAAAGAACCCTGCCAGTGGAATGCTTTTGCATATAGGTATTACTTAGGATGCTTAGGAACGTCTTTGGTCCTCTGTTGATACAACTGGAATCTGGAAATTCTTTTCTGCCGTGGCTTGATATATAGATGGAGGAAAAGAAGAGTCCCTCCTCATGCTAGAGATACATCTGGAATTGCAATTCTGTGTGTCGTATGGATAAGACACTTAAAACTGGATGAATGAGTAGATAAATTCATGTGAACAAATGTTGTCATTTGTAAGACTTATCTAAGATGGGAGGCTGCTGGTTTGCTCCAGCGCAAACTCTAAAGCAGCAATATTTTGTTGAGAATTCTTTAGCTTAGATTAGTCTGAAGCTCATCTTTGCAGCACCATACTTTTGCATTAAAAACTAACCTATTTTATGTGCTATTGACCAATAGGTTGACTATAGACAGTGATTGTGTATTACACATCTGAAAAGGCTAGAGGACAGAATGTTAAATGTCATAACCATGGAGAAATGATACGTGGTTGGAGAAATGATACGTGGTTGGAGAAATAGATACACTTAACTTGATTCAAAATGTATTGAAACATCCAATGATGCCCCAGTATCTACTCTTTTGTGTTTTTAGATCTCAGTTAAAAATACATTTAATTTGTAAAAGTTAAGTCAAAGGTACAGTAGAAGACCATTTTATTTTACAATGACTAAAACCTTTTTGGGTTACTCTACAAATCACAATGCATTAATAACCAAAGTGATATGCTGGCAACAAATCTGATGTGCAGGCTGATTTTGTTTGGCTAGCAGTGCTGTTTGTGTTGTTAATGCGCATTAGAGTGCCTTCAGAGTAGAGCCGCACTTTGCTGTTCACCACTGTCCCTATTATTCCCTATCACCTGATATCCAGCTCTGCCTCACTTACTTAAATAGCCCATCTGTTCTCCAGTAGATACTAGATTTGTGACTCTTCCAGCACCATTGCAGTAAACAAATCAATTCCAAGTTTGAAGTAATGACTTTAGAACTTTTACAGACATACATTGATTAGATCAAGATTTTTAAAACATGCCAATAACACACAGAATACTGAGTCTTTGGGTCTGGGAGACATGTTTCCTGATTTGGAGTATTAGCCAGCCAGGACTATCTAGTACTCGCTAAGGTAAATGGAAAACCAAACTAAGTTTACTAAGGTTTGTTAGAGAAAGTAGCCAAATATTTTAACAATGGGCTATAAATATTTTAACAATGGGTTATAAAAAGGGATTTGTGGATTTTAAATAAAATATACATTTTCTCTGGCATATTTACAAGCTATTTCTGAAACTGTGATATTTGCATATGGTAGATCCATTTTAGTTCATGAACCTTATGTCAGGTATAGTATGTGATATTACATTGTTCACAGCGCCTTAGCAGCGTAGAGCAGCATCATGGATGAAGCAGGATTTTTGTGGTTAGACAGGTATTCATGACAGCTATTTTGTACAGTGTAACTTCAGGCAAGTTATATATCATGACTGATTCATACTTTTCTTAGCTATACAAAAGAGTATACTAATGGTGTCATCGGTAATGCTGACTTCATGTGAAGGTGTTTATCATACAAAGGTTTGTAATACAATTTTTCTTCTGAGTAAGTAACTTTCTGACTTCACCTCCAAATCAGGGATTAGGAAGGGTCATGATAAAGTAAATGAGAAGTAGATTCCTCAGCACCAAGTATTTAATACAGTTAAATGTAAACCTATCATAAAAGTAATTATTTTCTGTAATATTTATGATATAATTTAGCACTATATTGTATAGTATAAATTATGACTTAAAAATGGATTTGTCTGTATCCCAAATTACAGTTTATACTACAATGGGAAAATTCATCCCAGATTTTAAGCCATCAACTTAGAAAATGAAATTTTGAACCATAAACTACTTATAAATCAAGATCACTATTAGTGCCTAACTTTCAGAGTTTTAGAAATGAGATTCAATGTTTTCTGAAAATAGGGTTCTATCAGAGACCAACAGGGTGTTTTGCTTATAACAGGTGCTCAGGAAATAATTTTTGTTTTATGTTGATCTTTTAGAATCAAGAATTAAAGGAAATCAACCATGGCCAGCAAATTGAGACTGAAAATGGACCTGATTAGCCATCTCCTTGTGTCTGTTGTTCTTAGGACTCTGCAATTTCTCCTGGAAGAACTGTAGTTTATTTTCCTGTTTGTGGAATCTGGGCCTTATGATTTGTTCTGACCAGTGGGATGTGGCAGGCCTGTAATCTCAGCAATTGGGAGGCTGAGGCAGGAGAAGTGATGAGGAGTCACTTCTAAGTCCAGATGTCTAGAAGCCCTTCTTGCATCCTACTTTTTGGAACTCTCTCTCCACTGCACACCCTGCTAGAGGACGGAAGACCATGTCATGAAAGTGCATTTGTCCCTGCTAAAGCTATGGTAGGCCAGTTTATACCAATGGACTGCTATAGTTTGTGAGTGATGAGCTTACAGCTGCCTGCTCAACCTACCACTGAGTGTGGATACCTGGGTAAGTCCAGCAAAGCTTGATTAACTGTTCAGCTAAACCTCAGGCTCCAGAGCAGTAATAGAATTCTTCTTGTTTTAAGAAACTGAGATTGGGGCTGGCATGTAGCAAACAATGATCTAGCATATCAACTTGAACAGGTTCTGAGCAATGAACAGGGCCTGCTTCAGGAAGTAGTGTGCGATGATTGAAATGGCAAGTATGAAAGACAGATTCAGCATTACAGAAAGTAAGAAGGCACGTGCACACACGCACATACACTCACACAAATATGCTAAATTTAAATTTGGAAAATAGAAACTAATGAAATTTTAGACATTAGTTTGGGAAAAAAGGGAGTACGCTTATACATGCATGTGCAGAAATACACACACACACACACACACACACACATACACACACACAGAGATACCCTACGTCATAGCTGCAAAAAGTCTAGAGAACTCTAAAAATGTCTATCATCTATTAGAAAACCAAAAAAAGGTCTTCTGCCCCCTAAATATAATAGAAAAACAAAATGCTGTGTACTTTACTGGCACGATCTAAGGAGTTATTCTGGGAGAAAGCAAAAAGCTTGCATGAGTGAAGTAGGGGCACCTAGGAGACATGATGGTCAGATATAAACTCAAAAGTAAATAGACCCTAAAAGAATTTTAAGAGCTCTGTGCAAGCAATGGCAAAGTCTATTAATGTGCAGTTCTTTAAATAAATTAGAGGGAGGAAGCCAGCCAAAAAAACACTGAGATGGATACAGTGCAAAAGGTCCATTGAGAAAATGAGAAAGAAGATAGCAGAAAGACTCAATTAATTCTTGGCTTCAATCATTCCTGAGGATGACCTTAGGGAGTTTCCCACTCTAAAACTGTGTTTTGCAGAGATAGGTCAGAGGTAAGAGAACAAATAATCCTAAAAGCAGAAGGTGTGCTAAAACGAATTGGCAAACAGAAGGTAGATATTTTCTACATTGGCATCCTGGCATCCATCCAGGTACTGTGAAAAACTGAAGGGTAGGAAGAGCGCTCCCTAACCAAAAGTGCAAATGTATCAGAAGACTCTGCTGGAAGATACTTGATGTTTTAATCTGGATGTCAGCAGAAACTTTATAAGAGAGTGGGATGATGCAATATTTGTGCAAACATTGTAGAATTCGTACGTGAAGGTTTTGTTCTTCTGCAGTAAAAGGCTGTTCTATGGAGTTCTGTTTCCTTCTCCCAGGTCTCACAAAACAGGAGTCGTGTTTTGTGCTCTGAGTTCCGAGCTTGTTGCCTCAAGGAATTATTAACAGCTTTTGCAAGTCAGAACTAAAAATAAAAGTTGAACTCAAACCATGACCTTCACTCAACTAATGTTTCTGGAGAGAGTCTAGGATCATTTGATGTGGATTAAACTGAGGGAGTAGTCCCTAAGAAATAGAAGATGATGCTCAAACACAGAAGAGAAGGGGGAAATGTGCCCTGCCTAAGGTTATTGGAAATTCCCCAGGACCAAGAGAAGGAAGAAGATTTGCCTGGTTTGTACAAGAGGCAGACAGGACTTTGACTGGGAGGATGAGAGGAAAACAGCTGTAGTATATTGGTGTAGGTTAGCTGTTGAATCCCACGTTGAGAATGGTAGAAAATTTTTCAGCGATTAGGCCTAGCATTGGCAATTGCAAGTCAAATCCGATTCCGCACATAGTTGTGCCTCAGTGGCAGTGAGCACAGGTTTGGCAGAAACTCCAGCTAATTGGAAGAGGCTTGGTACCAGTCGGGCTGCCATGGTAATCTAAGAGCTCGGCTCCTGTCTTTGCTTTGGTTGTCCAATCATTATCAAGATCGAATGCCTCGACTGCCATGAGTGGGATTCAGAATGTAGATATGTGACATTTATTGCATATGAGTGTTCTCAGAAAACGGTGAACCTACGCCCACAATTTATAAAAGTGAAATCAGGGAGAAATATATTTTTAAATATAGAAATCATCACCGACTCAGAGAGGAAGCCTGAGAAAAATCAGCAAATTCAATTTGTTTAGCTGTTTAAAAGACCTTTGCCAAAATTCAGTGACGAGAGCTATTTAAAATTTTTCTCTCTATTTTGAATTATGGAACATTTCACATATTCTCAAAAGGTCAGAACATGAGATAAAAGACACCCAAATACTGACCACCCAGATTTAACAGATGTTAACATTCTATTGTGTTTGCGTCAGCTACTATTTTTAAAAATAAAAATAAAATATTGAACATGGAGTTAAAGTTTTAGCTCTTTCTTTCCCTTCTGTTGTAAGCTAAGGGTAACCACTGCCCTGCAGTTGAGTGTAGCAGTGTTTTACATTTGATTGTGTATGTACCTGTAAGCAAAAATATGTAGTGTTCTGCATGCTATGAAATTTTTACCTCAGATATCATTACTATATAGCATTCACCTATGAATTTGAATTTCTTCCACATTTGTAGATCTATGGTCATCTTTCTTTTCTAATATTTGTGTTTTGTCACTTTTTCTATGTCTTATAGTCATTTAAAAACTATTATGCTTTTCCTGATATTTTATATATTATACCTACTGTATGATTATCATTTGTTCTGAACTATTGTGTGTATTCTTACCTTTTCCTTTACTTTTTTATTCCCAATTTTATACTTTTTCTGTTTACTTTTATTCTCTGGACTATGCATGATATTTTTCTATCCCTAAGTGTACATCTACATCTACATATACATATGTATATTATATATGTGTGTATGTGTATTATAGCACAACTCCTCCCTTCCCTTCTTTGTTTTGGGATGTTAGCTTATAAAAATTTCAGTAGAAATTATAAATATAGTTGCTAAAACCTAGGGGACAAAATGGACTCTGATAAAAACCACTAATCAACACATTTTTCTTTTTATCACCCTGCCAGTTTCACTCACAATTTTGAAAACCTTAAAGATGGTTAACTTCTCTAGGTCAGACTAACAATTCATTCTTCTAATTTAGAAGTAAGGGCAGTGTTGAAATACCAATAGAATCATACAGCCAGAGTTCAAAGCTGTTTTCCTTTAGCTTCCTCATCTTCCACTGAAAAACATGTAACATTACCACATCTAGATTTTATTGCAGAGATTTTAACTCACAGTGTATGACATGAATTCTTTTCCCCTAAACATGCTCCATTTTTGAGAGTTAGTAACATAAATTTCCTTAACACTAGGTTCCTTTCCCACACGGGGAAATGATCTGGACCCAACGCGCTGTCTTCTACCATGAAAATAATTTGTCCTGATGCCTTTACTTCCCATCTGCAGGAATCATACCACCCACTGTCCACTGGTCAGTATCTTGAAATTATTGTTTCATATATTTTGCTTGTTCATATCCGATTTCTTTCAGGCTGGAATGTAAATCCATTTAGTAACATTCTGTCTTGGACAGAAGTCAAAGTTCCATCAATTCATTTGAAGTTTTATTACAGAATAGTCAGATGTACTATACAAGGTAAAATTAGAAAGAGTTCCTTAATCATCCTCCTCACTCTCATTCCAACTATGCTTCCCACGGTACCTTCTGCCAGAAATTCAGAATCTGTCCATTTGCCTTCTATATATCTGTGTACATACAGATATTTTTGTGTTGATTTCCATTTCTAAATGAAAGCATTAAACGTTCTAATTTTCACTGAACAATATGTCTTGATGCCATTTCTATGTCAATATTTTTGAAAACTAAATTACCAAGTATTCTAAATTATGAATATGCTTTAAATATTATATTTGATGTTTATCTATTGATGAAGTGATTGATTACAGTATTCACTAGTACACACTGCAAAGGTTTGAATGTCTGCTGCAGTACCCATATTGAAATTTGGTTGCCACTGTGGCAATATCAGATGGTGAGACCTTAAGAGATGATTAGGTCATAAGTGCTCCTTTGTCTTGAACAGAGTAACACTGACATAAGGGGAGTAGGTTGTTACGAGGGAGTAATTTTGCTCTAAAGTGAATTATAAAGGTGTTCTGTCTCACCTGTGCTTGTTTGGGGCTTCTGCCATATTCTGATACAGCACGGAGGCCCTTGCCAGATCCTGGCATCCTGCTCTTAGACGTCCCACCCCTAGAACTGTGGACCAAATAAACTTCTATCATTTTTAAATTACACGGGCTATGATAGTCGAATATAGCAGTAGAAAACTAAGACACAAACCAAACTCTATTGCACATATACATAGAAGTGGATGAAGTTTCATATAATGATATAGTCTTATGCAGTTCTAGAGAATACTTCTGGTTTGCTACCAAAAAATGTCCTTATTTTTAATTAAGATTGCAAAATTGCTTTCTAAAGAACTTTTGAACACTTACATTCAAATCAACAGTGTATTATCTACTTTTTTATGTTTTTATCAGTGATTGTTTTGCCAATATGAAATACATGCCATATTAATAGTAAATTATATTACTAATAAATTAATATTGATTTGATTTTCCTGACTACCAGTAGAGTTAAAGTATTATTTGTTATTTATATTTCTTTATCTTCAGCCCTCTCTTTTTATCCTTCAGCTATTTTTTATTACATTGCCTCACTGTTTTCTTACTGATTGGTGGGAGATAATATGCACTTGATTTACCCCTTTTTCTACTAATTGTTCCATTTGGGTTTTTTGGACTGTTAGTTCTCCTTAAAATAAGTTAATATAATATTTTATTTCTAACAGAATATCACAGCTAATTTTGTTTATGTAAAACCTGTTAATATCATTTATAGTTTAAAAATTGGAATTTTCTTTGAAAGGTCATCCAATTAACAGTATAAAAATAATTGATTATATGACTTCCTAATAGTTTTTTGACTTTCTTTTATCTCTTTCTCATATTAAATATTATCTTCCTAGGTACTGAGCATCAAGAAGTCTAAGGTTTTTTTTGTTTTTCTTTCATGTATGGATAGACAGTATTCATAATTTCATCACTGGTTAGTCAAATATTCTCCACTTGATTAAAAATCAACCTTTATAGAAAAACTTTTAATGTATATGTTATTCTTCCCAACTATTTTTTCTATTCTTTAAATATATTTTTTGATTCCTGGGTCAATATTATAGTATAAATATATAACCCTTATCACTGTTTTTCTTCTTTGAATATTCCCTAAATATATTTATATTTACACATTTCACATGGGTGATAGGTACAAGGAGTTGGAAATCACTTCCAGGGAAATGAATCAAGTGCTAATAAAAAAGCATTTCACCCTCCAGGGCAGGGTACCCTTGCAGTCACAGTCTAGTAAGATTTCAGAATTGCTTTGAACCAGTTACTGCAGGATCTCCCCGTCTCCTTTACTTTGAATGTCATTTGGATAACCAGATCCTTTTCTGTATTTGAATATTGTGAATATGAAGTGAGACAACCTGTTATTTTTCTTCATAGGTTTCTAATCAAAGAGGAGAATTAAACCCAGTGTAAACCTACCTAATCACTAAATCCAGTATAGTGATTACATAGGACTTAGGAGAGGTTAATTAACCAAAAGAAAAGTCAGTGATATATTTGTAATCAGAGGGATTGGTTATCACAGCTCTTAGGGAAATTTTTCAGAAATGTTAGTTCTTTCCCTCAGTTTGGACTAAAAGTCAGATTGTTCCTCAACTTGGCGTGACGCATGTCTCTGTGATACATTACCAAATGCAATGTGAATTAAAGTAACATAAGTCACTTTGGGGTAAAATCTTTAGAGTCAATGTTTAGTTTTCCATGTTTTTTGTGGATTTGGCAGTCATGGAAACAGAAGGTGGAAAAGAAGTTTCTTCAGCCTGGATCCCTCAGAGACACAGATAAGCAGAATTTTCAAGCTGGCAGGCCATGGACACAGAGTAAGAATTAAATTATTTGTTACAAGCCACTAACGTTTGGGGTTTGTTTATTGCTGCACATAATCTAGCTTATGCAGACTGGCTGATAAATTATGTTTGCTGTTTTCCCATGTCTTGAGTCTTATAATTAATAATTTACTTAACAATTTATCTCCATCTTTGTTGTCAGAATTTTCTGTTCCATGTATAGGCCAAATATCCATGCCTTGTTGTTTTTCTGCTTTTTTCTTCCTTTAATTGAATAAATAAATGTCCATGTAGATCTGGTTTTTGCCTGTAGACATTGTATATAGATTGCCCCTGATTCCCTCCCTTTTCCACATCTGCAGGAGTAGGATCACTTTCTCCTTTGAGATTAGAAAAGGTGCCCACCGATTGCATTAGCAGCTATGTCTTTCACAAGTATCTTTCCGTACTGAAGAGCAAGTTTTTTGTTACTGCCCAATTCTCTTGCAAAAATAGTGACATGTTCATGCTTTTTAGAATCTGAAATACATCTGTAAGCCTTTTATTAACCTTAACTAAAAACCAAACCAACAAAAACATACAACAAGAAATACTCCCCCAGGGCATTTTGCTGCTCTAGTGCCTACATACATGATTTGTAGCTCAATTTCTTGTGTATAAAATAATAACCTTACAGGTTAGAAAGATTGAATAAAATAAAGGCCTATAATATGCATGACACAATGCCAGTTTCAATGGCTCAATTCATTATTACTTATTAGTCAAGACCTATTACACTGACAATTTCTATAGTCCTGCTTATGTTTAGTATTAAGAAAACTATTTTACTAACTTTGCTTTGAGTAATTTTCTTTTTGTGATAAGAGTATTTAGGTGATTCTGAGTGTGACATTTTGAAAGCATGAAATGCTATGATTCCATCCTTTGTAAACAATTCTCTTGTTCCTTTAATAGTTAGCTTAATAAAATAGTTCTCAAGGTGTTATTTTAGCAAAGTGTCTGTACCGTGTCAGTCTACCACTTGTTCAGATGAAGTCTGCGGGGTCCAGAACAAATACAGCAGGTCTGTGTCTGTTACATACTGCACAGGATGCCCAAAGAAATGTCCAGTGAGAGCTTTAGTTTTCACTGGGATAAAATTAGACTTGGCCTGATGAGCCAGATGAGTGCTATCGAAGGCCCTGAGCACAAGTTTCATAGTGTGCCTGTGCCCACAGACTTAGCCACAAACAGTGCTGCTGGTATTCGCAAACCTGCTGCCAGAGTTACCACTCAGTTCCTGCCTCTCCTTCTGCTTACCCTGGCTTTGCTTCTAGTTCTCATGCACTGAACTGGTTATCTTGGCACCCTTGCTCCCTACTTCAATAATTTGATTCCCTGACTTCCACTCATAGCCCCTTCTTAGAATGCAACCTCAATTTGACACTGTCCTGAACTTGTTCACTGGTTTCCTCCATGAGAGGTTTCCTCCCCTGGCAGCTGCATATTCTTAACCCAGCCAATTCTTCTCTACTCGATGTTATTGATTGCTATAGTCTCTCTCTCTCCCTCTCTCTCTCTCTCTCTCTCTCTCTCTCTCTCTCCCCCTCTTTGTCTCTCTCTTTCTTATTCTCTCTCTCCATCCATGTCTCTCCCAGACTCCCTCTTCTGTTCCCTCTCTCATACTCACTTCCAATTCGATTCCACTTAACCTTCCATGAACTCTTTTTAAAATGAATTTTTACAGTGTGACTTAATAGTATTATTTCTACTAGGGTACACTCTGAGTTTAGATAACATCTTTTTCTAAGAGGCCCTTCTTCGTAAAATCTTGAAAAATATTGGTGAGTTTCTCTTTTATTTACTCATCCTAGTCACCCTCCCACACCTCTCACATTTATCCAAACCAGCTTTGAGATCATTTAGCATTACCATTAATTTTGGAGCTCAGGCTTCCATAATCTTGGTTGTTAGCATTTTGCACTGAATAATTCTTTGTTGTGGAAGGCTGTCTTATGCACTGTAGAATATTTAGCAGCATCCTTGACTTCTATCAAGTAGATGTCAATAACAAGCCCTACCCCTCAGTCTTGATAATCAAAAATGTTCCAAGAAGCCAAAATTCCCTTGAACTGAAATAACTATACCTAATGAACTCCACTTGACTGTACAATTAGAAAAAAATATTTTAGGTAGGTCTATGTCTTAGGCTGTCTTGTGTTGTTCTAACAAAATATCCAAGACTGGGTAATTTATAATGAACAGAAAGTTACTGGTTAACAATTCTGTAAGCTTGGGTATGGAGGTAGACCCAGATCTAGGCACTGGCATTTGACCAGGGCCTTCTTGCTGGAGCATCCCATGGTGGAAGGGAAAAGAAAAGGCAAGGGAAACAGTCAGAGATTAAACTGGCAGCTTCAAGCCCTTTATGATTAGCATTAATCCACTCCTGAAAATGGAGCCCTTGGAATCTAAGCCCCTCCTGTGAGGCGCTATTCCTGAATGCTGATGCATTTCTTGAATGACCAATGATGTTGAACATTTTTTCCACATAATTATTTGCCATTTGTATTTCTTCTTTTGAGAAATGTGTATTCATCTCACATGCCCATTTTTGGATTGGGTCTTTGAATTATGGGGACCTGACTTTTTAAAAAGTTCTTTATATGTTCTAGATAGAAGTCCTTTGTCTGAAGGGTATTTGCTTTAAATTTTTCCCTAATTTGTGGGTTTTCTTTTGACTCTGTTGGTGATTTCTTTCGATGTGCAAAAAATTTTTAATAAGATGAAATTCCAGTTGTTGATTCTTTGAAGTATTACCTATGCATTGTTTTCATTAACTCTCTGCCTACCCCATGTCTTCAAGATTTCTCCCTACTTTCTCTTCCAGTAGACTTAGTGTTTTTTCTTTTACTATTTAGATCTTTGATCTATTTTGATTTTAGTTTAGTGCATGGTGATAGACATTGGTCTAATGTTAGTCTTTGTATGTGGAAAGTCTGTTTTTCTGGCGCCATTTATTATATTTATCTTTCTTCCAGTGCATATGTTTGGCCTCTTTGTAAAAGATAAGGTGGCTGAGTGTATTTTTAGTTATGTTTGCATCATCTATTCTGTTCCATTGATCCTCAGGTCTGTTTTTTTTTTTTTTTTTTTGCCAGTATCACATGAATTTTATCACAGTAGCTTTGTAGCATAATTTCAAGTCAAGGATTGTGATGCCATCTGCCTTGCCTTTGTTGCCTGGGACTGCCTTTGCTATTATACATCTCTTATGGTTCCAGGTGAACTTAAGGGATGTTTTCCCCAGAACTGTGAGGCATGTTAATGGTATTTTGATCAAAATTGCATTAAAACTGTTTAACAGTTTTTGGAGTATGTCCATTTTCACAGTGTTCATTCTTCCTATCCATGAGCAAGGAATATCAATCTATTTTCTGAAATCTTCTTCAGTATTTTTTTTTCAGAGTGTTGTGTAGATCTTTTACGTTCTTTATTAGATTGATTCCTAAGTATTTCATTTTTTGAATGCTGTTTTGAGAGTTGTGGTTTCCCAAATTTCTCTCTCAGTGAGTTTGTTGTTTGTGTACATGAGTGTTATTGATGTTTGACTGACTGTGTATCCATTTGTGCTATTTGTACTACTGAATTTGGTTACTAAATCTAGAGTCCTTTGGTGGAGTGTTTGGTGTCTTCTATGTAGAGTATCATGTCATCTGAAAATAAAGATAATTTCAATTCTTCTTTCTTATTCTTATTCTTTTTATTTCTCTCCCTTTTCTAATTGCTCTGGCTCTTGTTTCCAGAACTATATTGAATAGGAGTGGTGACAGTGGACATCCTTGTCTTGTTCCAGATTTTACATTGAAACTTTCAGTTTTTGTCCATTTAGTATGATATGGGTTGTTGGTTTGTCACAGGCAGATTTTATCAGACTGAGGTAAAGGCCATCTATTCTGATTTTCTGTAGGGTTTTCATCATGGATGGGTGTCGGACTTTGTCAAAAGCTTTTTCTGCATCTATTGCAATGATCATATAGTTTTTGTCTTTGGCTCTGTTGATATGGTGTATTACATTTCTTGATTTGGATAAGATGAACCATCCCTGCATTCCTGGGATGAATCCCATTTGGTCATAATGTATAATCTCCTTGATGAATTGCTGTATTCTGTTTGCTATTATTTAATTGAGGATTTTTGCATGTATGTTCATTAGGGAAATTGGCCTGTAGTATTCTTTTTTGTTGAGTCTTTCACTGGTTTTAATATAAGGGTAATACTTGCCTCCTGGAATGAATTGAGGAGACTTATTTCCCTTTCAATTTCATTGAAGAGTTTGAGAAGTATGGGCATTAATTTTTCTTTAAATTTCTTGTAGAATTCAGCTGTAAATCCATCAGGACCTGGGCTTTTCAATGTTGGTAAGTTTTTAATTGTGTTTTCAATTTCATTGACTGATATTGGGTAATTCAGAATTTTTATAGCCTCTTGATTCAGCTTTGGCAATTCATATGTTTCTAGGAATCTATCTACTTCTTCTGTGTTTTCCATCCTATAATAGTAAAGTTTTTAGAAGTGAATATTAATGATTTTCTGATTTCCATAGGATCTGTAGTGATTTCACCCTTTTCATTTCTTATTGCATGAATTTGAGTTTTTTCTTTCCTTTTTTTGATAAGATTGGCTAGGGATTTTTTCAATTTTATTTATTCTTTCAAAGAATCAAGTCTTTGATTTGTTAATACTTTGTATTGTTTTCTTAGTCTGCATTGTGTTAATTTCTGCTCTGATATTTACAATTTCCTACTTTGTTTGGGCCTTAGGTTTGACTTTCTCTTCTTTTTCTATATGCTTGTGG